GAACAGCAGTAGGGAGGGGTGTGCCGTGCAAGAGGGAGCAGCAGTGGCAATGTGCATCGTGGAGAGGAGGGTGCAGGGAAAAGCAGTGCAGCAAGGGAGCACATGGTGCAGCAGGAAGACATGGGGAGCAGCAGCCATAGGGCACATGGTGCAGCAGTGTGGGAAGAGCAGCAGTGGCAGGGTGCACAGTACAGCAAGGGGGGCAGGAAGAGCAGCAGCAGAAGGGCATATAGTGCAGCAGAGGGGGGAGAGCAGCAGCAGAAGGGCGCACAGTGCAGCGGGGAGCACCCAGTGCAGTAGGGGGCAGGGAGAGCAGCAGCAGGGAAGGCACTGAGAGGTAGCAAAGTATCAAGGTTTTTCATGCACCAGGGTGAAGGGACATGCAGCCCCTGGCCCCTTGGAAGTTAGACAGACCTGGCTTATTTGGTATGCACAGGACTTTTCTGACTTAAATGAAGTGGCATTCGACCTAATCAGCTCTGCAAGCCAGGTGAGTGGTGTGGAGCTGGTCTTCAGACTGAAACTGGAACTCAGGGTCAGTATGCAGGCCTGATCCAGTGCAATCCTGAATACCAGATCTGGCCACGCACTGGCTTGACCCCACACACCAGCCTGACTCCATATACCAGATCCAAGCATGTGCTAACCCAACCATGAGCACTGCATTCAGCCATGCACCAGCCTGACCCTGCATGCTAGCCTGACCCCAGGCACTGGATCCGGGTGTGTGCGAGCCTGACCCTATGTACTAGATCTAGTTGTGCACTGGCCCCACGCTGTGGAGTGAGGACCTGATTTTCTACCCATTTGCTCACCCTCTGACTCACAGGCCAAATCTGGCCAATGGAGCCTGTGGGGCTCCTCATGAGTCCAGAAATTTGGGAGCCAGGATGTGGCAATTAATGCTGCCATGCTTCCACGCTGCCAAATGTCCAGACCTGTGGAGAGCCTACCCCACAGGCCAGATGACATGGCTCCATTAGCCAGATTTGGCCTGCAAGCCAGAGGGTGAGCACCACTGACTTAAATGAGTAAAAAAATCAAGTCCTCAATGGCCCCAGCAAGCATCTGCATTACCACCACCTCCATGCAAACTGCTCTACCTCACTCCTGTTTTAACAGAGCCCAAGACCTGACTAGATCTAAGGTCTGATTCTGTTGTTACACCATTCAGTAGTAAAACTGCCACTGATTCAATGGTACAGGATTCAATCCATGGAGTCTAAAGCAACTTTTCCATTCTCAAAAAGCAAATCTACCCCACTGGGTCTATAGTAGGAGGAAGATGACAGGCAGCTGCCCATATTATACCTTTTATCAGCACAAAGTTCTTTTTGGATGTTCTTTTCTAGGCATGTAACTGAGGAACAGGCAGTACACTGCAGGTTGGAAACAGCTTCAATGACGAGTATAATTAATATGAGTGAAAAAGCTGTTCTGAACTTTTGAATCTACTTAAAACTTACAAGTTATATTAGAACAAAACTAAGAATAATGAAAAGAAATACAAGGTGTTCCTCTATGTTTATTTTGGTATTCTGTATTTCAGGAATACAAAGTTAATTATTACAATACAAACTCCTTGCAAAATTGTAAAACTTAGGCTGTGGAGATCACTTGAACAGGGGTTATGGGGACATCTGCAAAGATGCCTGTGGAGTCAAACTGATAAGAAATGGATACTGCAGCACGTGAATAGAGTTTGACAGTTTTGTATTTGGTATTTAATTGGCTATGGGAATTTAACTGGCAAGTGAATTTGGACTGTTATTAAACTAAAAAAAAAATGAATCTTACCATATCAACATGCTTCACTTGTTTATATTCAATTTCATCTCTGTATCCAGCTTGCTGAAATCTGTATAGATTTTCTACTTCATCTGACCACTTTTTGGCACGCTCCATACATTTTGGTTTGATGTCAGCTCCAGCCATTCCACCAGATGGTTTGCTGAAATTGTTTTAAAAAATAATAAATATAAAAATTGGAGCAAGGAACATTATTGAGATTCTATAATCAGAATGGGTAAAACATGTTAAATAAGTTACAGACAGTGTAAAAAATAAACAATCTCTCACTGCCAACCGCTGAAGTAAAAACTGGCATTTTGGAAGTGGGCAGAATCATATTACCAGTATATGAAACAGCCTACCAACTGTCGACGCTGACTTAGTGCAGAGTCACTTGGATGTACTGGATGCATTTAAGTCGGCAGGCCTGGATGAGCTGCATCTGAGAGTACTGAAGGAACTGGCCGGTGTCACAGCAGAACCACTGGCACGGCGATTTCAGCATGCATAGCGCTTGGGTCAGATCCAGGAGGACTGGAAAACAGCCAAGGTGGTCCCTGTTTGCAAGAAGGGGAGGAAGGAGGATCTGAGTAATTATAGGCCAGTCAGTCTCGCGCCTCCATCCTTGGAAAAGTCTTTGAAAAGATTATTAAGGATTATATTTGTGGGAGTCCAGCGGGAAAAATAATGCAGCAGGGCAACCAGCATGGATTCATAGCAGGTAGATAATGCCTGACTATTCTGGTTTTGTTTTATGACCAGATCACAAAACACTTAGACGCAGGAGTAGAGGTGGATGTGGTTTTCTTGGATTTTAGGAAGGCTTCGATCCGATATCTCATCCCATTCTCATAAATAAAGAGGCTGCGACTTAGATGACAGTCTGGTAGGTGGCAAATTGACTTGGGGGTCGCACCCAGAGAGTGGCAGTAGATGGGTTGGTATCGACCTGGAAGGATGTGGGCAGTGGGGTCCCGCAGGGCTCGGTCTTTGGACCTGTACTCTTCAATGTCTTCATCAGTGACTTGGATGTGGGCGTGAAGTGTACTCTGTCCAAGTTGGTGGATGATGCTAAATTGTGGGGTAAAGTGCACACTCCGGAGGGTAGAGAACAATTGCAGGCAGACTAGGACAGGTTGGACAAGTGGGCAGAACACAACAGGATGCAGTACAACAAGGACAAATGCAGAGTGCTGCACCTAGGGCATAAAAATATCCAGCACACCTAATGGCTGGGAAGTGACCCTCTCAGCAGCACAGAAGCAGAAAGAGATCTCGGAGTCATAGTGGACTCCAAGATGAACATGCATTGTCAGTGTGATAAAATCATTGGCAAATCTAACTGCACTTTATCATACATCAGCAGATGCATGATGAATAGAACCAAGGAGGTGATACTTCTCCTCTATGCAGCACTGGCACCGTACTTTAAGAAGTATTTGGATAGCCTAGAGAGGGTCCAGAGGAGGGCCACTCGTATGGTTAAGGGTTCACAGGCCAAGCCCTATGAGGAGAAACTAAGGGACCTGGACCTCTTCAGCCTCAGCAAGAGAAAGCTGAGAGGGGATCTTGTGGCCACCTACAAATTCATTAGGGGGGCACAGCAAGGAACCAGAGATGCTCTGTTCACCATGGCACCTTTTGGAATAACAAGGAACAATAGTCACAGACTGACAGAGAGCAGATTTAGCCTAGATATCAGGAAAAACTTCTTCACGGTAAGGGTGGCCAAAATTTGGAATGGGCTTCCAAGGGAGGTGGTGCTCTCCCCTACCTTGGGGGTCTTTAAGAGAAGGCTGGATAGGTACTCTTTCCTGCTCAGGCAGGGGGTCGGAAGCAATGATCTGTTGAGGTCCTTTCTAACCCTAGCATCTATGAATCCAGGAATATAAACTATTATCATGCCAGTCCACTGTACATTCATATTACTAATGCCATGGCACCCTGGAATTCCACCTGCCCAAATTAAACACAGTGTTTACTCCAGTGAAGTTGTATCAAGGGTGACTATGACCTACATTTCAGAATCTAGAATAGGTTTAAAATGCAACAGGAACTAATTTCAACTCGTTATTCATATCAGTGTATTGGTCTTTTTAGGTCTATCTTATTCTACTGCTAAGCAGCACCTTTTATTTAACTATGAAGAAAAGTCCTGCAAATTCTATAGCATCTGACAGATTTCATTGTTCTGTGGGCCAAACTTCAATGGCACTAGGCTGCAGCTCAGCCTAGGGTTTGCTGTATTTCCTAGAATCTAAGCTGTTGTTTAAGAAATAAAAGTTCCTAGATATTTTGCTGAGGAAGATTCTAGATTTCATTGCTTTTATTTTCAAAACATGCTTCAAAATCTTAAATACAAACTAAACCTCTTATTCAGCAAGATACCACAGTATTAACACAAAAAACAGTTCAGTGTAGAAGTCCTGTCAAAAGCAGAAATGCTGGTCATAGTCAAAATACATGAGAGATTAGAAAATCCAAACTACTGCATATGATACTTGGAAAAGTCCCTAGAAATTCCTACAGCCCTAGGAAACAACAATTTGGGAGTGGTAGAAATCTACATCTTTGGCATAACAACTTTATAGGCTTTTTTGGCACAGAAGAGCCATCAGCAAACAAGGATAAAGGGTCTTTAACTCATTCTGCATGGGGTTTAGCAAAGGTCTATACAAAAAAGAATAGATACCAGGTCCTCTTCTATAGATGCTGCCACGTTTTAGGGTAGTTCAGCGCTCCACGTTCTCCCTAACCTGGGTTTTGCAACTAGTGGTTGTCTTATATGCAAACTGGCAAGGACTACAAAGGTTATTTTCCCTTCCCACCATGCAACAGCACAACACAATTAAACATATTCAGCATATATTAGTAGCACTATTTTGGAAAGCTTGTTCTGCCTGTATATTTGTATGTTCCCATATGGGAAACATATGGCTAAATTAGGCCGGTGGTTCTCAACCTTAGGCACCAGACACCTCTTTATTGACTTAAGATGCCCCTCAGAAAATGCCAGCTATTTGTTTTCATTCATTTTTAACTACAGAAAAATAATAAGAGCAATTTTTCTGTTGCAAAGACCTCGGAAAGACCAGAAGAGGTCAGCATGTTTTGAACACAGTGATTCTAATTTGAAGTCTCTGGGTTTATCTTGGGAATCGTGTTTGCACATCTAAATGTGTTTATGACTACTTACATGTCACTAGAGTCAACTGGCTCGCCACTGCTGGAGGTCCTGGTCTCATTTGGCAAATATGCTGGTCCAGTGCAGCTGGATAGACATGGCACATTTTGGTTATCCATGAATTCACGTGGACTTTCCAGAAAAGCTCCTGCCAGAATGCACACAAAACGAGAGCACAGACATGATGGGCCCATTCAGCATATACAAATAAAAACCCAAGCCTCTTGAAAATCAGGTTTTAATATTATGATTGGCATGACTGGCAATGTACGTGCCATTTGTACCATCCAGGTGCTCTAGCAGGCCTGGACTAGGACCCTAAAGCAAAAGATGGAGGCAGAAAGAATGGAGAGAAGACAACGACAAGAAGACAGCTGCTACCCAGCAGCCCGGGCAGAGGGACCTCATGGTGGTGTTTGCTGTTGATTATTTCATTGTTCATGCTTTCCCTGAAGCAGTCAAGATAGCAGTCAAGGTTTGAATTAAGTCCACTGTGAGGTGTCTAATCTGATTTTGGTGTGGGTTTTTTTTGGAATTAATGCCTTTCCCCCTCACTTGTCTCACACCTATTGTCTCCCACGGCCTCTGGTCCTCACTGCCCCGTTCCCATTTTCACAGACCTGCATTTTCTATTTCACAAAACACCAGGAGACTCTCCCCGTGCCTGAAGAAGGGCGTTTGTGCCCGAAAGCTCGCAATGAACAATTTTTCCAACTACCAAGATGGTCTAATAAAAGACATCACTTCTACCCAAAGCCCCTTGCATGGCTACGCGCTCATTTCCGGCGGCTCCTGGAGCGCCGAACCCCTGCACTGCACCCGCAGTGCCTCCAGCCTCATCCACGTGACTTGGGGTGTCTCCGAGTCACGCGGCTCCAGGGGCAGGCATGCCCCCGACCCGCGTGCCCAGCTCCTGGGCCTTGTCAGCGCGGCCACTCCCCACAGGCGAGCCCAGCGCCGCTGGATCTTAAATATGGCATGATTGTATCGGGCGCTCAAAGACGATTGTATTTGCTGAAAAACGAACATACGCTAAAAAAAAATTATGCAAATAATTATGCAAATAAGTCATCTTCCAATCTCCTTTACACTGCTCACTATCCCCTGGCAGCGAGTGCGAGATTCGAGTCCTCCAAGTCGACGCATTTCTTCATTTCGAGGCGAGCCGCCATAAGAAAACGCTGCCAGCGAAGCCAACCGTCCGTTCCAAGTCTCCGAGAGCGATTTGGGTTTTGCCACCTCAGAAATGACGCGCGTTTTATGATTATCCACCCTCCCTCGTGGAAGGACAGCACCAATACCACAATTGCTGTACCCCCCCGATGAGTGACACAGCCATGGTCCTCCAGCATCCCAGAATGCCGTGTTCTGCCACCCCCTCGCCTGTGGACAGACTGTCCCCCCCACCCCGAGCGCTCCCCTGTGGGGAGGGGGGAGGGGCGGGGCCGGGGCCACTCACCCCTATGAGGTCCTCGCGCCGCGGCCGTTTGCGGTCGCCTAGCAACCGGGGGGCGGGCGCGAGCCAACCAGCAACGAACGGGGGGAGAGGGCGGAAGGGAATAGTCGCGCGCCCAATGGGGGGAAAGGCCCCGCCCCTGCGACTGACGCGAAGCAGGAGGGGCTCCGCGATTGGCCGCCACCGCCTCCAATGGGAGAGGGGCAGGCGGGGCCTGGCGGAAGCTGGGCAGCGCGGGGAGGCGGTGGCGGCGGGATGAGCAGCTTCGGGGGCCGCACGCAGGAATACCCCTGGGTGTCCATCGACCGCTTCGACCGCGACAACCTACGCGCGCGGGCCTACTTTCTGTCGCACTGCCACAAGGGTGAGCGGGGCGCAGGGCAGGGGGCAGAGCGCGGAACAATCCATGGACCGGTGCGCAGGAGGGGGGGCAGAGCGCGGAGCCATCAATCGTACAGGGACGTAGGGCAGCGGGCGGAGCTAGGAGCCATCGATCGGACAGGGGCGCAGGGCAGAAGGCAGAGCAGCTGATCTGCCCTGGGAAAGGGATTGGCCTGGCTGGTCCAGGTAGCCCATCTCCATGCCTAAAACTTTTCTGCAGCTGACACAAAGCGGCTCCGGGCCCATAGGAACGTCCTGGGAATGTTTATTTCTTTCTTCCTTGCAGATCACATGAAGGGGCTGAGGGCGCCATCCTTGAAAAGGCGACTGGAGTGCAGGTAGCAGGGGTTCGTGGGCGGTTCTTGACGTAGGATCGTGAGCACGTGTCGTTCGGGCCCCTGTCGCGTGTTACGTATATTACGCGAATAACTGGCTACCCACACGATAAATGATCACCGCATAACATGAATGCCACGTGCCCCTGGAGGCTGGCGGGGTCCCGCAGGCAGCCGCCGCGCCGTCAGGGGTGGGGGGAGGGCAAGTACTGACCAGTGGTCGGCGACCACCTGCAGACGCTGTCAGCGGCGTTCGCAATTGAGGACAGCCTGCAGATGCTGGTGGCGGGGGGGTGGTGAATGGTGAGGGGCAACCGGCGGCACCTTTTTGCAGGGGGTGCACCACCCTATGCATCGCCAGCCACGTGCACCCCCTATGCATCGCCACTGCCACTTAAATGTCTGTAGCTACGAAAAGAATCAGCCAGCTGCAGATTTCATACTTAAAAATAAGTTACTTCATAGTTGGTTTCTATCCAGCTTTTAGTGGCAGCACCCTTGGGCTCTAGGGACCTGAAAGCTGCACTTCTCTTCTCTCGTTAAAATGTGGAGAAATAACTAGGTCGTGGGTCGTGCACTTGCTTTTGCAATTTGACTGTTTGCCCAAACCACATGGGCTTCCCCCACCGCATCTGTTGGCTTCTAACCAGGGCTCATCGTTCTGCATGATGTGCACAGCAGCTGTGTTTCCACGTCTGATCAAAGCGTGAGAACATTTGAACATGTGTCCTGCTTTTTCACTTTGGGTAGAGAAGATGTTCATGATCTATATTAGTACTGTCCAGACCCCGGCGTACAAACCATTAATGGAAAACACAAGTGATTTAATAACCGAGCTGTAGGGAATAAGATGAAGAAGATGAGTTTTAGAGATGCGTTTCTTTTGTTCGAGCCATGAGTTCATTTGGTACCTCCTCATCAAGTGATGTGGGGCATCAGCAAACTTAGGGCATTTATACACATACTTTTTTGTCCTGCGATGTGCTGGAGATCTGCTGCTTCAGAGCAGACTCAATTAATTGAGTCTTCTCCACACGTGAGCTGAGCCAAACTATGCTTTGCTGTGTGCAGTCGTATAAGTGGCAAAATGCACATCCGCACAGGAAAAGGCAGCAGTGCACTTTTGAACTAAAGCACCTCCTATGTGTGTTAGGTCAAAAGCACGCCACTGCCGTTTTCTCAGTGCTGACGCACATTTTGCCACTTATACAACTGCAAGTGTTGCAGTGCTGGGTGCTTTTCAAAGCATCCAGCATTGCAGTGCTTGCATTTGTAAAAACGCCCTTAGTTTCTCACTAGATCCTACTGTTCCCAAGGTCATTGTGGACAAATTGGAACTGCTGCTGCCCACTGCAGTTATCTGCCCAGAAATCCTTACTATTGACTAGATGTGGGCCAGATTCCAAGTTCCAGTAGTGGACTTCTATATTTAAAAAATTTGCATCAGAATCCCAAAGTAGGTGGATTGTGCTTGGATCGGATCCATTAAAGTGTGACAGGTTAGCTAACATCTCTGACTGGCAATAGATTATTTGTGTTCAGACCTCTACTATGCAGTGACCTCTATTTTGACCCCAGGATCAAAATAAGTGCCTTGTTTTGGGGCTGAAAAATGGCTGTGCATATAACTGGAGTATACACTTAAACCTTAATCCAAGAATACTCGCAATGTACAGAGCGCCGTCAGTGCTGCGGTGTTGGCTAATATGAAGCTGACCTGCTACCAGTGTTCCCTCTAAACTGCATGGTATGCACGGCCACGCATGCCACCCAGTTTAAAGGGAACGCTGCCTGCTACCCTTGTTTTCCTGGCTTCTGATAATTTCAGGGCTGCTATTAGAAACCTTGAACATGAAGGAAAGTTGCCCTGAAACTGACTGGTCTTGTTGTTTGCAAGGCTTCTGTTATCAGCGCTTTTGACAGCTGCTTCCCTTCATTGTTTCAGTGTAGCTGCCCAGGGGCATGATTGTTACCCAATAGAAAATTGAGTTGATAGATCCCATACGCATTAGTGGCTTATGCATTTAACTGATATACAGATAACCAGGGTTTGTTACAATATCAGTAATTGGCAGCAACTTGACGCTAGCTTTCTGTTATGCAGTTAAGCAAATGATGCACTTTATTGAGTTTGCATGTTGGTGGAGTACACTGTAAATTAGTGCCTTCTGCAGTGACCTGTTTACTGTACTGTTCCCAAGGAAAATTTTGGCTTCTGCCTCTCCATCTTCCCAGAGTAAAGGTAGGTGAAATAGTACAAGAAGCTTTTCTGAAGGGCAGACAAGTAAGGCCCTGAACCTTGCTGTTGCCTGTTTTCAAAACAATATTTTTCAAATAGGCAACTGTCTTTTCACAAACCATCCTGTTTTGGGGTTATTCTCCAGAGCTGATGGTGAATTTACAAGTTGTAGTTTATTGAACCTCCCCTTTAAAAAGCAAATCAAGAGTCTCTCTGCCAGCAATAAAAAACTGGAGATCTTTTTCTTTTCCCAAAGTCTAGAGTAGCATAAGGAACCACATTCCCAGCTCTGCATGAGTGCTTGGGATAGTTATCATCTATTCCAGAGAAAGCACCAAAGCCTTAAATCAGACCATGACAGAGGTCCCTGATGATAGGCTCTTAACTAAGTTAGGTAGTCACAGGATTACAGGGAACATCCACATGTGGATTAGAATGGACTCAAAGATAGAAAGCAAAGAGTGAGTATAAATGGTCAGTTTTCAGGATGAAAAGACGTAAAAGGTGGAATCCCCCAGGGATCTGTATTAGAACCAGTGCTGTTTAACATATTCATAAATGATCTGGAAAAGGGGGTGAGTAGCAAGGTGGGCAAACTTGCCAATGACACAAAATTAATTCAAAGTGGTAAAGACCAAGGTGGACTGTGAGGAACTACAAAAGGATCTGGCAAAATTGAGTGAATGGGAAGCTAAATGGCAGATGCAGTTCAATATAGATAAGTGTCAAATGATGCACCTGGACAAAAATAACCCAAACTATGCCTACACTATGATGGGCTTTACATGAGCAGTTACTGCAGAGGAAAGATCTGGGAGTCATTGCAAACAGTTTGCCAAAAGCATCGGCTCAGTGCTCAGCAGCCATAAAAAAGGCAAACAAAATGATAGGATTAAGAAAGGAATCACGAACAGAAATGGAAGTATCACAATGGCCCTTCATAAATCTGTGGTGTGTCTGCATCCTGAATAAATGTGCCCAGGTCTGGTCCCCTCACCTCAAAAAGGATGTAGAAGAACTAGATAAGGTACAAAGAGCAGCAAAGATGAGTATGGAGGGGCTTCCATATGAGGAGAGACTAGGTCTGTTCTGTTTAGGAAAAAGATACTTGAGGGGGAACATGATAAGGGTTTACAAAATACTAGATGATAAAGAGGAAGTAAATAGGGATTTATTATTTACTGTCCTCAAAATAGAAGAACTAGGGGACATAAGATGAAACTAGGAGGTAGTAAGTTTAAACTAACAACAGGAAGTTTTTTCACACACTGGGTCATGCAAGTGTGGAAGCTGACAGTTTAGCCAGAGTCAAAAAAAAATGTATCGGGCAATTTTTTGGAGGAAAGGAGCATTAGTAACTACTGAGCATAGGAGTTATAAAACCCGCCCCTGAAGCAGAACTTCCTAGACCTTAAATGCTGGAGACTGCAAGTGAGAGAGGAACAACGAGGAAAAAAACCCAACTCTGGTCATACCCAGTCCACTGTGCTTTTCCGCATCTGTTCTCTGCCACTGCATAACACTCTGTACAAAAGATGGCAATTCTTTTGTTCTTATGACAGGAAAGGAATGGAGGAAGGATTTTTTTTAAAAAACAAAGTGGTTGTAGGTACAAACCTGTATTATTTTGGGAAGGCCTACAGACCAGCTGGAGGAACACGGCTTGAGTTCTGCCAGGTTGAGGCAGAACAGTTCCTTGGATTGCCCCACATTTGCAGGGCTGTACTTCCCTTCAGGTGGGGGGCAGGTCTAGCAGATATGTACCGCAGCAGAGTTATCTAATGATTGTTGCCTACTCTGTTTTGAAAACTAAGTTTGTCATCTTCTCTCTGCACAGCCTGAAAGTTCATTTATACTGTTCTCCAGTAACAAAGGAGCTGCTGCTGACCAGCCCAAAATACAAGTTTTGGGAGACTCGCATTGTAAGTTACACTTTTTTCAGGTTAAAGCAAGTTATATTCTTTGTCAGTGGAAGCGGGCTGTGCGCCTTTCGGGAGGGCGGGGGGAAGGGGGATGGACGACTAGTTCTTCTCCAAAGAAACGGTATTGAATTTCTGTAGTTGGTGTCACTATCCCCCTAAAACACTGGGTAACTTATGTCCCATTCTGGTCTTCGGAGTGGGTTTATCTTTGCTTGGTTTTACTGCTGCCTTTCTGTCCACAAGCAACTTCATTCTTTCAGTCTGGTGTTTTAGCATCTAATTGTAGCGCTCCCTTTTTGTTGGATCTGCATTACTCTCTACCTGACTACTGAGTATTCCTTCATACTTTCCTCCTCTTCTCTTGTTTTTTCACTACACCCTTTTCTAACATTTTATCCTTCACTTCTTTTAAAGCCTCCCCTTCCTGATTTGTCAGTGTTATCGCCCTCTCTTTTAATGTCTTTCTTCCAGCCTTGTGGGATCTGTATCCAGATGCAGAATTCTTGCAGAACACAATTTGCCCGCTTGAGTTTTAGTTGTAAACAGTGGAAGTTGAATACCATACTCTTCCTTGAGCCAGTGTTGCATTATACAAAAGTGACCTACTTGCAGCTGTTCATCTCTTCCACCCCAGATGTGGCACATCTGAAATTGTGCCTAATTGAAAACTTCTCCACCTGTCATTTTAGACCGTGTGTCTATAAAGGGCACACGTTCCTCTGCCTGGACAGTATGGCTGCATCCAGACAAGCGCGGCTCTGTGGTATGTGGTACCGCAAACCCATCTGCAGCACCACACACTGCATGTGCAAGCATTCCCCACACTGTTACCTGGAAGCGCAGAGGGGTTTTTTTTTAGTCCTGGGGGTCAAAAAAAAGTGTGTTGAAAAAAAGCAGCGTGGTGCATGTGGCAGCAGCACAACCCACCCAAAACTAGAGCCTGGCTGGCCAGAGCCACGCTTCAGCTGCCAGCCAGGTTCCCAGCTGCAGGATCACCATGGCTCCAGCTTCCCAGGACCCCAAGTAAGGCTCCTGGGACCAGCACAGCCCCCCCCGGGTAACCAGGTGCACGGCAGAGCATGCATGGCATTCCCTAGGGACAAGTAGTGGCACAAGGTGTGCCGCAGGTACTTGTCCCAGGGAACCAAACATCTGCACTCATCTGGACACAGCCTGAGTCTTATCTTGCACTACTTGAGCCTGTAATCTCTAAGCTTCTCAGCCAGGGATATGTTCTTCTGGGTGGCAAACATTATCCTATGTGAAGTGCTATGTCTACCTATTGGATTGCACTATATAGCTAAAGCATTTACAAGTATTTTACCTTGAGTTCCAAATCACTTCCGGTTATCTTGGTACAGCACCTGTTTGGTCTCTGTTAACTTGGCTTTGTGTAAATTCAGTAACTTATAATCAAAGGAATTTGATGTAGCAATAGTGGGATGAGTAGGGTAAAGGTTTTATTTAGGGGTGCACAGATGTATCGGTTGCCTGTTGAATTGGCACCGATAAAAGGAAAAATGACTTATCAGCTATTGGCTTTTTTGATTGTTGTAGCCAATAACTATGGCCACATGCCTGGAGCACCTTGGCAAGTATAGTCCAGTCCCCGTGTCCCGCCGCTGGCCTGAGCCCACAGCAGACTACAGGTCCCAGCGAGCAGTAGGAGAGGGAGGGTGAGTTAGGGAGCAGCCACAGGGCGCTGCTCAGCAACAAAGGGACAGCCACTGCCTCTGCCCTGGCAACAACACGCACTCAACAGGGGCTTGAGCACAGGGGCTGCCATGGAGACGGGCTGCGTGCAGGTAGGGTAAGGCGCCACGTGAGGGACATTCTGCTCCACCAGGTACTGGGTGCCTTTGCAAAAGCGGCTTCTTCTGGGTGGGCTTGGCTGCGTGGGGCTGCCAGTGCTGAGGTGTACTCTAGGGCTCCAAACACACTCAGCACTGCTGTCCATGTGAGGGTCCATTCTGTCCGCCCAGGACGGCAGCACGGGCTGTGTGAGGAGTGGGTCTGCGGGTGGGAGATGTGGGTCAAGGGGTGACGTGGTGGCAGAGTGGTTAAGGCACTTTGCTATGGCTCCAGAGGCAGGAGTTTAAGCCCTGCTCTGGGCTCATGTCAAAGGCTGCCCTTGATTAACCTATCTGTAAATGGGTATCTGGCCATTCAAGCTGGGGAGTCAAGTGGCCAGGTGTGATGCTGGTTACATTACCCCTTGGTGTACCATTGACTAAGTAACTGGTGTACCTTAACCATGCTAGATTAATGGACTGTTAGGTTTAGATGGACCTTCTGTGGTTCTGTAGTAACTCCCAGAAAAGAGACATAGTCATTAAGCCTGTTCAGACCGGAGTGTCTTTGGGCAGCCATATCCCAAGTAAAACCATCTGCCTCCAGCTTGTCCTTCCCAGACAGAGTTTTAATAATGGGTGTCAAACCACACAGTTTGAGGGTGGGCACATGCAGTCAAGCCAGACAGTTTGCGGGTGGGCACATACAAACAAGTTCATGGTGTCGGGGCCGAGGGGCTGTGGCCAGCAGCCTGGGCACGTAGGCCGGGGAAAAGGTCGGCATGGCGAACTAGAATTAGGCACTGACGCGTAGAGGTTGATTAAAGATTATTTTACTTACACCATAGATGGTCGTGGTGCAGGCAGGAAAACTTTCTTGAGTTGCAGTTACAAAAAGATACACGTGGAGTTTGCTAGGCTCCACAAAACAAACACGAACAGAGCTCTGGATACACACTCACGGAGTTTCCTAGGCTCCGTGGAACGACCGAAATGAGAGTCCAAAAGGTGACTCTCGACAAGCGCGCAGGGTAGGGTACGTCGAGGGATCGTGTGGCGACGGGGAGAGGCGAGAGGTTGATCAGGCCCCTATATCCTCCTCTAAGGCACACGCAGAGTTTGTTAGGCTCCACAGCGCACTTAGAGTTCTCCACGAGATGGATGTGGAGTCCTCCTAAATGAGGTCCTCCCCGAAGATCTCCACGGCTAGCAAGCCAATCGCTAGCCGCCACGTGGGAATAATTTAGAAACAGCCAATAATGGGGAACAAATTTGCATACGGGTGGCAGGAACTCCTTTGCACCGGGGTTTTCTCTCTGCAGCTGAGAATTGCACCCTGCAAAGAAAGCTTCATGTGGCGGGAAATAATTCTGCAGTGCTGAAGCACACACAAAATCATTGGGTCATGACACCTGGGAGGAAAACTTCCAGTCTCTAGTAACTGCCAATGTTCCCACTCTTGCTGGATGATGAATATGAGGTAGTTTCCCCCTCCGTGAAAGTCAGGTAAGATACCTTGCATTACTGGGCACGTCTACATGTTCATTAATGCACAGTAGTTACTGCGCATTTAGTTTAGTACTTGCTTAATGAAGTGTTAAATAAATGTGCAATAACTACAGTTACTTGGCAGTAGTGCTGGCGCACAGTTTTTTAGTGATGTAATAAAACAGTAGCTTAATATTACTGCGCAGTAGTATATTAGCATGGTTTTTGCCCAGCAGGCTCCTGTGCAGTGTTATTAGGCTGCTGCGCATTAAGCATAGGGAAGGGTACATAGGTATGTGTCTTGTCCAGCTCTGCATATTTCTTGTGCAACAGTAAAGAGGGAAGAGTTTTTGGAACAGTTGCAAACTCTGTATTTGCTTCCTTAGTTGCATGTCCCTGAGGAGGTGACTAGTAAAGGCAGAATGCCCACAAGGTTGGAGCTCTGAGGAAAGGTATGCTTAAGCTTTGGAGTTTGGAGGGGGTCAGCACTGGTCCTATGGGTATTTCTATATGGGGTGATACAGGGAGCTTTTGTATATGAAGTAAGCCAGAGGCCAAGGCAAGAGCTGGTCTCAGATCAAGAGGTGCTCGAGAGCAGTGGGACACGAACAGCAGCCTGGCAGGCGTCCGTCCACTAGAGAAGGAAGTTTTTTCAGGGCTGTGTAACTATTTTGTCTAAGATTAGCAATGCAGGAAGGCTCCATGTGTAGAGATCAGCCTGATCTTTGTATTTACAAACATCTGTGCAGTGTTAAGACACTTTTTTATAATTGTGCTTTCTAGGTTTGTATTTTTTGACGACTTGGATTCATAGATGGATTCACAGAGTCGGAAGGGACCTCAGTGGGCCATCTAATCCGACCTCCTGCCCCTGGCAGGCAAGAAGACAGTCACCAACCCTGGGGTCATGTGATCCCAGCCAGGTGCCTGTCCAGTCTCCTCTTGAAGACCCCCAAGGATGGGGCGAACACTACCTCCCTTGGGAGCCCCTTCCAGATTCTGGCAACCCTGACCGTGAAGAACTTTCTCCTAATGTCCAGCCTAAACCTTCTCTCTCGTAGTTTATGGCCATTGTTCCTTGTCGTTCCAGGGGGTGCCCTGGTGAACAGATCGTTGCCTACTTCGTGTTGCTCTCCCCTTATGAATTTGTACGCTGCCACAAGGTCCCCTCTCGGCCTTCTCTTGGAGAGGCTGAAGAGGTTAAGGTCCCTTAGCTTTTCCTCATAGGGCCTTCCCTGCAGGCCTCTAATCAGATGAGTGGCTCTTCTTTGGACCCTCTCCAGGTTGTCCGCATCCCGCTTGAACTGGACCCTCAACGCACCTAAGTTCTTAGTTCCTAGCACCCTGCTAACTAATCCCCTGAGTCTATTGAAGTCAACTTTTTTTAAAGTTCAGCACCCATGTCCTGCTGAGTATAATGCCTGCCCTTCGCTGGATAGTGAATTTAATCATTTGGTGATCGCTGTCCCTCGGGTTGCCTTGAATCCGCAGGTCCCCCACCAGGTCATCCCTTGTGGCCAACACCAAGTCGAGCAAGGAGTTGCCCCTGGTGGGACACTTTACCTCCTGTGTTAGGTGGAGGTCCTGAATACAGGTTAAGAACCTGCAAGAGCAGTTAGATCTAGCTGACTGCTCCTCCCAGCATATGTCTCAGTAGTTAAGGTCTACCCTTGCCTACCATATCTCTAGACCTCACAGCCTCTTTGAGCTGCTTGGAAAATTCCTTGTCTAGCTCGTCGTCCTGGTGCGGCGGCCTGAAGTAGACCCCCACCACTAGATCCCTTTCACCCCGAGCCCCTTGGATCCTAACCCACAGAGTCTCTGCTTGATCACCCTCTGACCCTAATTTGATTAGGAAAGATGTGTACAGTTCTTTGACATAGACAGCAACTCCCCCACCTTTTTTCCCTACTCTATCTCTCCTATAGCCCTCTATTCCCACCACCCAGTTGTGAGAAGAGTCCCACCAGGTTTCAGTTAGTCCCACTAGGTCAAAGTTGTTGCTTGCTAGCAAGAGCTCTAGATCCTCCTGCTTGTTTCCCATGCTTCTGGCATTTGTGTATATACACCTAATTCCCCTGGTGGCTGTCCCTGGTCCCCTCTTAAACTGCTGTCTAATAGGATCTTTGCTACGTACCTGGACTGATCTTGTGGGTGTCTCTTGGTTCGGTGTTCTGTGGCTCCCTCTGTCCTCATCCTCCCCTTCCCCTGATGAACCTAGTTTAAAGCCTGCCGGAGGAGATCAGCCAACCTGAAAGAGGACACTCACTTACCTTTGGGGGAGAGGTGAAGCCCATCCCATCCGAGCATGTCTCTTGTTCTGAAGTATGGGTCATGGGCCAAAAAGCCAAAGCCAGCCTCGAGACACCATTTCCGAAGCTGCAAGTTGACCTCCCTGATGCAGGTCTCATGGCGTTGTCCAAGTCTGCTCGCTGGGAGAACAGATGAGAAGACCACCTGTGCCCCTGTCTCCTCCAGCTCGTCCCCCAGAGGGCGATCTGGGCTGCTCCTGGCCACATCGTTAGTGCCCACATAGATTAGGACCATGGGGTAGTAATCAGTGGGCCGGATAAGGGCCGGGATCATCTCCGTCACATACCGAATCTGAGCTCCGGGCAGACAGGAGACCTCGCATGTCATGGGATCCTGGCGACAGATGGGACCCTCTGTTCCTCTCAGGATGGAGTCGCCTATGATGAGTACCCAGCGTCTCTTCTGGGTCAACTGGCCTCCTTCAGTCTGTTCTGTGCACGGAGTGGCCTCCTCTCCAAGGGTTTACTCATCTCCTTCCTCTTCCTCCAGTGTTGCCAGGGCCTCAAACCTGTTCCCCAGCTGGACTGGGGGAGCTGATACTGCACCACTGCGAACAGCCCTGGCTCTGGAGGGAACCTTCTGCCATTCTGCTGTGGAGGGCACCTCCTGGGACTCTTCTCCCTTTGGTGCTTGGCTCTGCAGGGAAAGGAAATACCTGTCAATTTTGTCCTCTGCTTCTCTGATCCCCCTCAGCCTGCTAACCTCTGCCTGGAGCTCCCTCACCTGCCCCTCCAAGGCCCTAAGAAGGGTACATGTGGGACAGGTGGGGGGAGCCCCATTCCCTGCGCCCCCCAGTCCCGCAGGACTTAAATTTATTCAGCTAATTGCAGCTCTTGTTCCCAGTAATGGCTTACAGTGATGGAGCAAACTATGTAGTCACTTAATCAGACAGCAGTAGATTGGGTGTCCTGTTAACAAGCTCTGGTATAAACATCATCATCATCATCTCTTCCTGTATGCGCCACAATTGTAAAATTGATTAATATCAGACTAGGAGAGTAGTTTATAATGTTGACGTCCAAATGCTTTATGATCAGCAATCTGATTGAATCTGTTCATGCAAACAAAGACGGAGAGTTGATCTTGATCTGTTGAAACCTCCCAGAGTGATTGCAGCATACTGACAGAATTTTTTTACTTAACCTCTGCAACCAAATTTTCTTTAACTAACTATGAAGGAACTTTCTTGAGGCAGATCAGACCTAAAGCCTGGACCTAAAGACTGCCATTGAATTCGACTCCGTTTAATTCCACTACGGTTATCTGTGGCAGGTGTACTGATGCACTCTACTCAGGGAGGAGTGAAGCAGATCACCTACTTCAGTTGTTTGTGCTGAATGATGTTCAGGCAGTTTATTGGTACTGAGAGGCAGAATCATTCTTGTTTAAATATTTCATTAATGGCCCAAGGTGTCATGAATTCCCATGGGTGGTACTCCTATGTGGATTCGGGATTTTGAAAAGGAGTGTGTGGAAGCAGCAGCCAGTGCTGCAGAGGGGCTGCACCCCTGCTTCCAGCGTGCCCCCTCACCCCATGCTGGGCAGTACATGCTGCAGGAGCAGCAGCTGGGGATTATCTTTAAGTCCCCAAAGCAATTAAGACTCCCCCACCCCTGGTCTCCGCACCCAACCCCTATGATCAATGACATCTCTTCCCCCCACCTTGCCCTCTCTACTTATGCATCTGCAGGAAGGGGAGACCCACCTGTTGCTGCTGCCACTGCTGTCCCACCTGCTCCTGGTGGTGGTGGGAAGGTTCTTCCTCTGCACCCGCTCTCAGGCTGGTGGGGAACACCTGGACAGGGAGGGGGAACCTGCCTCTCACTGTCCCTGTCCCAAGCTGAGCCCAGCTTCCCACATAGCTGATCCTCCCAGTCCCAACTGGAGCAGGACAGAAGCAGCTCTAGGACTCCCTCTGCCCCTGGGGACAGCAGTGGCAGCTGGGTCTCCTTCCTGTGCCCAGAGTTGTGAATAGAGAAGGCCAGGGAGGAATGACATGGGAGGGGGATGCCACTGAGCACAGAGGGATTGCCAAGAGCTGCAGGGAATACTTACTTGCTTCAGGGACTTTACAGAAAAAAGGCCCCAGCTGCTACTTTTGCAGCATGGTCTTGACTCTGTAGGGACCCAAGCATCTGGGGCTGTGGAGAACCAGATCTACCAAGTGACATTTAGAAAGTGTATGGATCCACCTTTAGTGGTACTGGTATTTTAACAGCAGCACTAACTAGAGTTCCTTCTAGGTATTGGTTGACCTTGGCACGTGTAATTCTTTTGTGGCTAGGTTTGAGTTTGATACTTGTATAGCTTGTTTAAATCTTGGCTGTCTGGTAAGGAAATCCAAAATCACAGCTTTGGGATTGTGATGAGACCAAGACTTTATAGCGGCTGAGAGCCAAGTTGTTCATCTGCTATCCCAACAAAGCCAAGAGGCTGGAATGATCAATGCTGCAGCTCATGTTATGAGGATTGACGGACACTGACCCCCACACTCCTGCTTTGTGCAGATCTTTCGAACTAAATTATCCTCTGCCCTGCATCAGGACAGGCGGAAAAGCGTGCAAGAATTAGCCCAAATGGAGGATAGACTGGGAGCCCAATTAGTGCATCTATTCCCCAGTCAGGAGCAGTTTACACAGAATTTGTTATTGGAAGAGACTTTTTTTTTTCTTTTGGCTCTTTCTGGAGCCAAAAGAATGTGCTGTCTACACTATGTCTATATGAACACTTAAGATGTCCACATAATACTAATGAATACCTGTTATTAAGCATACTCTAATGGCAATTTGCAATGCATCTTAAAATACATTTCTTCTTTTTTTGTTGTAGATTGCACTTGAAGTTGAAACTCCAACTCAGATTTCTTTAGTTGATGAAACATCGGGTGAGGTAATTATTTAAAAACAAAGGGGTTTTTTGAATGGTTTGTTAAACATACAAATGGAAATTAAACTTTGAAATAAATATTATAACAACAAGCAATTTCTCCTTTTCAAAGCTATCGATAGCTAGGTGGAGTCCTCTTTCTTCCACTTTTCTGATCTTCAGCTGGGCTCTTCAGCTTTCCGCTGCTCCTCTGATTCTCCATTCATGTGTCTCCATTGCCTTTTTTAGCCATACTGAAATGTGTCTAAAGACCATACTGAAATATGGCTAGAAGCCAGGCATGCACTCAGCACTTTTCCCCATGCAGAGCCAGTGTGGAGTGAAACAATGCGTTTTGAGATGTGGACCTTCAACAAACAAGCTCTTAAAACATAAGGGAGAAGGGGAATGTGGCTTGGTCCCTTTTGACCAGAATTCATGAGCTTGCTCTGAGACATAATCAGCTAATCAGAAATGACTTGAAAGTCATTGCGATGCAGACTGTGAGAGTGGAACAGGGAAGAGAAGACCACACTCCTCTCCCAGTGAAGGTGCACCTGAGTACCACCAGAGGTTCAGGAGAGCCGTAGATTGATCTGATCACTTTCAGAAAAGGTCAGGGCCATGGTCCCACAGCCTGAGACTTGCACTAACCTGTTAATATGTTGGCTTGACTTTTTTTAGAAAGAAGATATAGTGGTGACACTTCTCCCAGCTGGTCACTGCCCGGGATCAGTCATGTATGTGCTGTCCACACTCAGTATGGTTTTAAATGTAAATGATGGCTTGTTGTAATAGTAAGTTCCATTTTTCTAGATAGAAGAAATAACAGTATCATTCTGATGATGTCTGTCTTTTTTTTTCCCCCTCCAAGACAAGCATAACAGTTGCACTCTGCTTATGTGAGGTTGACCTGCTATTGGGCCCCTACAGTCTGGACATTTGTACTTGTACTTCTGGGCATGCAGCAGAAATACCCAGTCATACTTTTTTTTTCCCCTTGTTTTTTCCCCAATGCAATTTTTATTTTAATATTTTGTATGCATTTAACTCCTTATGGTTAAATCTAAATCTAAGGTTTAACTGGTTGATGCCTCTGGGATTTTGTAAGAGCAATATCATTTCAATGTCTTTAACTATAGATATTGTCATTCAGGGGGGAAAAAACTGTTTTTCCTAAATCAAACTGAAAACGTGGTACTTATAAACAGGGTTGGGTTTTTTTAATGATTAAAACAATACTGTAGTTTGCTAATGCATATGTTTGTTGCTATTCTGGTAGCCTCCTTTAAGATGAATAACAGTGGTTGTGCAGGATATACTAACAAAGTGGGAGAGACTTGCCTTCTCTGGGCTCAGTTATGCTATATTTTGTATTCCTATGAGTAGGTCATGACCTTGCAATTGCTGTGTTCCAGAATCTTATTTACAAAGAGACTTTTCATATGGGTTTGGCTCTGAGCCCTGGGTTGGAAAATGTGAGACTTAAGGAAACAACTGAAAACTTAACCAAAGCAATCTAAATGCATGGGTATTGCATATGGGATTGTATTTAAGAATTCATATTTATAACTAAATAAAAACAAAGGAAGTGGAGTCTGCCCATTGCTCCACTTCTCACTTCACCAATTGCTTCTCTAAATGTTGGTAACAAATAGTAGCAGAAAGTTGTAGTCTCTTATTTCACTTTCATGTGGGTGCTAAAACAGGGTTTCCTGGAGTGGTGAGCAGCTTGAGGAGGGGAAAGGCAACCTATTTCAGTATCATTTGATTCCAAATGTCTAGCATAATTCTCACACGGATTGAGACGTATATTCCTCACAAACAGCCAACTCCTGCTTCCAGTGAGAGAATTGCATCCACAGATCTTGCCCCTGAAAAATGCTTCATTTAGGCTAGGTACACATCTTCAAAAAGCCTGATGAGGAATTGATTTAAGTAATGCGGGTTTCTGTAAGTGGTGCAGTTTAGATCAGTAGTGAACAGAACACACATTTGCCCTTTGGGGGGCAACTCTTAGACCGGCTTCTGCCTTTTTAAACCAATCTGTGTGCGTCAAACTCCTGTTCTGTTATGGGTATAGACCGATTTCTGATCACTGATACCAGTAGAAGTGTAATGGTAGTACCCGGCCTCAGAGTTGTAGTGCTTTGGATGTCTCTTGGTAAACTATTCTAGTTTATTGCCTCGTTTGTTAAAAAATATCTCCCATTTGAACCTGTGACGCTTCAGCTTACTGCCCTTGAATCTAAATATACTTAGTATACTACTTCAGTGTGGGTTAGATAATATCATAGTAGCGGGTTATTTCATCTTTCAGTGTCCTTACTTAAAGGTTGTTACCAAGTCATCCCCTAAGCTAGCTAAACCAAATGGAAGGTAAAGTTTTCCTGTGAAGCCCAATGAACGTGAGGGATATGTAATGGAAAAGGTGGAGGAATCCTGACTAATATTGTGAAACAGAAAGTACCAAATTTTAAACTAGCATAGTGTATATATGTTCTGGTCATTTTGACTTTATTCTGTCCTTCTTGGACAAAATAATTCTTTCCCCTCTTCCCCAGAAGCAGCTTGCAGCTACCTTTAGAAACATTGATCACTAATATAGGTATATATGGCTACAATAGACAACTGAAGTCTTCTTTCACTTATACAGATAAAAAACTCATAGACCAGTGGTGCTCAATTTTTTTCCCCAGTGGGCTGAATGGGCAGTGCCTGGTCTGACCACAGACTGGATGATGGTTCTCATCCAGTGCCCAGGGCCTGCACAGCGGGCACCATCCAACCACGCGGAGGGGGATGGGAGAAGCCCAGCCTAAGCCTGCCCCTGTAGTGGGGGAAGGGGGCTTTGCATGGCTATGCAGGGCAGGTGCGGGGGAGAATGTGACCCAGCCCTCTGGGGAGGGGGGGGAAGGGAAGGGAGCTTGACCTAGCCCTATGGGGAAAGGGGGCATGGCTTGGCCCCACAGGAGAAGGGGCATGGCCTCATAGTGTGGGGGAGAGGGGGAGGGAAGGGAGCATAGCCTGGCTCAACTCCAGCCCCATGAGGGCAAGGGGTGCAGCCTGGCTCTGACTGAGCATGTGGGGCTTGGGGTTTGGAAAATCGGCAGGGCGGAGGGTGGCCTTATCAATGGCCACTGCTCCTGCGCCAGCAAATTTTCTGACGCATTTGGAGCCGTGCCAGCCAGATGCGTTGGCTCAGCAGACCACACTTGGCCCGTGGGCCAGAGTCAAGCACCTCTGCTGTAGACATTTGAGTGCCCTAAAGGCAGAACTTGAATCAAGTTTAATGTTTTGGTAATGTCTGATGGATTCATTAAAATTACACCAGTGAGGTACATCGCAAAGGTCACATGCAAAGGCTATGTCACCTGCAAATCTAGAGCGTTTCCTTCAATTTCTAGAAACAAAATAATAAATTAATCGTAGCAGTTGCAGGACTTTATTGCTGAAATTAACTAGTGTTTTCCATATGTAGGTTTTTGTTTCAGGGTGAAAACGGCACAATTCTTTATACTGGGGATTTCAGACTAGCAAAAGGAGAAGCAGCCAGGATGGAGCTTTTGCATTCAGGGAAAAGGTACAAAAAAATCCTATAATCCTGCATTTTAGTCTCTGCTGAGACTTCCTGTGAGTGTGATGTTTAGAAAGACTTAAAGAACCTGTAGCCATAAATGTTATGGCTGGACTAATGTCACCGTTTCCCTTCATCTCCCACTAATTGACTAAAGCTATTTGCAAGTCAGTAAATCCATATTACATTTATAGGCTGAGATGAGCAGTGACACAGTGACATAAATATTACCAGAAAATTGTGTTTTTCAGACTTTCTAGAATCCATTATATTTAAGTCTAAACTAGAGCAATGCAAGATAGATATGTTGCACTGCTATTCCAATATCTTATCATTTCAGCTATAAAGCTGAAGAATTGCTACATTTCCCCTCATTCTGTGAGCAGTTGGCACATGTAACTATGGAATCTTGCCCTCTGAAATGATCATTTTCAGTAATTGGAAGTGTCTCTAATAATATGATAGAACTTTCTGCATCTGTGATGGGCGGGGACACAATTTTGACATCACCATACATGATAATATTGCATTTCTGTTTCAGAGTGAAAGACATTCAGAGTGTGTATTTAGACACCACCTTCTGTGATCCCAGATTTTATCATATCCCTAGCAGGGTAAGTACAAATCAAATATGAGACTAGCATACACACAGATACTGATAATTAACCAGTCTTTTGTCACTATTTAATTCTTAAAGGAAATATTTTTTTTTATGTTTCCAAAGTCTGATGCTTTGGCTGTTACTACAAAGTTAAATGCATGCAATTTTCTAACCATTTTAGGAGGAATGTTTAAATGGGATATTAAAGTTAGTACGTAGCTGGATCACGCTGAGCCGCTATCATGTCGTGTGGCTGAATTGCAAAGCTGCCTATGGATATGAATATTTGTTCATAAACCTCAGCGAGGAGCTTGGAACCAAGGTAAAGCTTTCATATCAACTGCTTTATAAACAACCTGAGCAGTGACTGTGTGGCCAATATAGTGACCTGGAAAATGCAATTCTCAAGATTTCTGCAGTCTGAGAGGTCTTCCTGCTCTCCTTTGCTATACTAATAAAGCAGCTGTAACCTGGGAAATAAGCTTCTAGTTTGTATAGAAACAGTATTAACTAAATCCCCAATAGATGCCATCTACTGAGACTTTGCAGCTCTGCAGTCAGAATTGAATCCTTATTCCCAGGAGAAACATTCATAGTCTGCTCTTTGGCAGCCATGGAATGCCATATAAAAGCAATCCAATTCAGTGGCAATGAATTTCCTAGACCAGCAGTTGGCAACCTTTTTCTTGGCTGTGGGCTGGAATGACCCAGACTGGGACTCAGCCACTGCTACTCTCCCTGTCATGGCACGGGAGAGGTGTTGATTGGTTAGATCCAGATGTTGATGACCTGTGGCTGCCTCCTAAGGACTCGCTGGACATACTCAAATTCTTCCCAGAACAGGGTTATCCATTTCAGATGGTGGCTAAAGATGTACCTTGGCTGAGGTAGAAATACCGAGGTGTCCACGTAATTGTCCGTTTCCCCCCTCTTCTCCAAATTTGGTCAGTATTCCTGAGCACTGCAGGTTTTTTGTTTTAATGTAACTTTTAGCAAATGCATTTAGTTACGTTCAGGACTAAATATTTGTTTGCTTTAGGTGCATGTGAACAAGCTGGATATGTTCAAAAACATGCCAGAAATATTGTACCATGTTACTACGGATCGGCGCACTCAAATTCATGCATGCCGGCATCCACGAGTACGTACTGGATTGTAAACTACCTGATAGCTTTGTATAAAACATATCTGTAGACTTAAATGTTTGCAGTGTTTCCATTCCCAATAAAGAACATGGGAGGGAGAAAATTGCACTTGGTATAAGGAGAGTAAAAGGTTTAATTATTGAATAAAATGAAGTGAAACAAATCTTACTAGCTCAAAAGCTAGCACCAGGAGTAAAAATCCCAGTTCAGCCACATGACCAGCAACATGTTAGAAAGGGTAGAGGGTTATGTTGTCCTGCCTTAGTGCAGAATGTGTGATACCTCATGGCCAGGTGGTATATAGAAGGCTTCATGTACTATTTGCACTGACCTTCAGACCAGTACAACACCTTGGAACAGGAATCCCAGAACTGGGGAAACACAAATAAAATTGAAGACAACATTGAGGGCAGGTCCTGATAGGTTACGGAAGTTTAATATGACCATGGGATGTACGGAATGGCTTCCAAAAGAGGTAGATGAGACTAGAACATTAGCAAATACATATTTCCCCCAGATTTCATAGACATTAGGACTTGAAGGGACCTCATATCATCGAGTCCAGCCCCCTGCCCAGGAGCAGGAAGTCAGCTGGGGTCACAGGATCCCAGCAAGATAAGCGTTCAAATGTTTCTTAAGAGTCCAGAGAAGGTGCTTGCACCACCTCTGGAGGGAGTATATTCCAGGCCTTGGGGGCTCGGACAGTAAAGAAGTTTTTTCTTATGTCCAGCCTAAAACGGTCTTGGAGGAGTTTGTGACCGTTTGACCTTGTCATCCCTTGGGGCACTCTGGTGAACAGGCATTCCCCCAGATCCTGATGCACACCCCTTTATATACTTACAGGCTGCCACCAGGTCACCCCTGAGCCTGCGATTTTCCAGGCTGAAGAGTCCTGTGGCGCTCATAAGGCCTGTTCTCTTGCCCTCTGATCATGCGTGTGGCTCTCCTCTGGACTGTCTCAAGCTTCTCCACATCCTTCTTGAATTTGTGGAGCCCAGAACTGGATGCAGTACTCCAGCTGTGGCCTCACCATGTTGCAAAGGCCAGCATTATATTTGCCTTTGTATTTCAGTAGATGCTCTTTATCTGGTAGGATGATGAGTATCTTCGAGGGAATAGGTTGCCCTGTGGAATTACTTCCCAAAATGGAACTCCACTGCGCATCATTAGTGTCAAACCTTCCACAATGTGGTTTGGAGAGAGAACCAGAAAAACTGATGTAATAGTAAGGTAAGCAGTGTTATGAAGGCTTCTGTGATATGAATAAAACCATTATGAGGGTGCTTACGTTTTGCCTGAAGGTGTAGACACGATGCTACTGCTCTGCAATAAACCCTGTAGATGCTATTACAGAACATGGCCACCGTGTGGCAGTGGAACCAGTCTACATTGAACAGTCAGCTACTCTGGGATAACACTGACAAGGGGAGCAGACACAAGGTGAACTCCTTAGTAAGGCACCTCCAGATTGTTGCTACAGATTCTCATGACATAACTTCTGCCCCAGAAAAGAGTCTTTGTAGCAGGGCTTCATGTCAAGTTTGCTGGACTAAAGTCAGTTTATTTTAGAGTAAATACATTTGGTGTGTCCACACCCTGAGTTTTGTGTAGGTAGTTAAGTCATCTTTGGAATTGTTTCATAACTCAACCTCTACTAACCAAACTGAAGCTGTAATGAGCTTGGCAATTTTGAGTTATTTTGTCATATCTGTTTCTAGGATTGGGGAGAGTTCATACAGAGCTTGTTTTTCTTTTCACTCTTCATACAGTGAGGTATGTAGAATGATGTTCAGTTTCACAATGTCACGAACAACATGTTAGAAGTAGTTATGCTCACTTTGGAGTAAGCGATAGGTTAGACTGCAACAAGGGAAGAAATATTTGATAACAAGCTTCTTGGTAATGAGAAGGGGTGAATGTAAAAAATGAGTGATGAAGGCAGTGCAAGATCAGCAGTGCCCCTGCATAGCTGTTGCAAGATCCTGTATTTCAACTGGATATCTAGACTAACCTTTTTCTAATATATTTAAAAAAGAATGGGCTGCTAATATATTTAAGCACAGCTGTCTTTTAATGTTGATGGAGCTTAAGGCAAAATTATGTTGCAGCTTTGTAGTGGGAAACATTTAGGTATTATGTTTTGCTTTCATACAACTTTTCCACACTCTGGCCACCACTGTATAAATTAAACCATTAAGAATTACTACCTGTTTGTTATTGTAGCCTCTTCTACACAGTTCCTTAAACCAAACATTCCTCTCACTATTTAAAAAAATCTGGTCTGTAAGGACAACTTTTCCAAATGTGAACTGTGAACCTGCATTATACACGATAGAGGACAATGGATTTTCCTATGAAAACAGATTCTAGCTTTAAGATATCTCTTGGTGGCTTGAACACTTTTAAGGGAAGGAGCAGGGAAACTTCTTAATAAAAACTCTAAAACAATATTATCCATTCAGCTCATTCTGATTCTCTGTTTTAGAGTTGTTTGTACAGGGTTCCAGCACCTGGGTTGTGCTGATCTACATTATGCTTGTTTAAGATACACATCCTATGACACACATGCTTCAGTCAGCATTACCATATGGTAGCGTGTGTCACAAATATACTTTTAAGGTAATTATTAAACTACTTGTACCTCTCTTTTTTTTTTTGCTTTTCCCCTTAATTCAGATTAAAGATTTCTTAAGCTATATCCGTCCAATGAATGTGTATCCCAATGTAATTCCAGTGGGAGCAACGGAGGAAAAAGCTCTTGCAATGTAAGTGCTGCTTGGCTGGTTGGTCTGGGTTATTTTATTGATGCTGTTTCTGGTTGGTTGCTAAGATGATGATAACTTGTGCCTCAGCCTGGAATTATCTCCAGCTGGCAGTCAGCTCTTGTTGCCTCTTCCTCCCTTCTATTCATACTCTCCTTTCCTTTCCTCTCTCCTATTCAAATCTTGTTCAGAAAGCCAAATGGGAGGAGAATTCACATGTTCAAGTGCTGCTTTGATGCTTTAGACATGGCGTAAATTATAAACTTCCCAACTTTTTGATTGGCTTCACTTATCTTTATAGATTTTCCCTTACCGCTTTTAGGCTAGCTGTATTGGGCTATTTCTGACATATGATTGTTGAATGCCTTATGTGCATGCCATCTTGTCATCCCTGCTTCAGAGAAACTCAGCAGGATCCTTCCTCTTAAATAAAATCTCCACTGGGGCTTCAACTCCCAACCTCTCCGCACAGAAGATTAATGTATTGTATGTACCATAACTAGTTAATTTACCCTGCCCTCCCTGCTGAGCTGTTGGAGAGGTAGGAAGATCTTTGTGACATTAATCTACAAGGCTGATATTACAAGAAGGGAAATGTAGTTAGGCTGATATTGCAAGAAAGGGCTACCGTAAGAAGTGGCAGTGTTGTGGTCAGGAGACACTTTAAAAAAAAAAAAAAAAGGCTGACTCTCCATTTTCTCCTCAGTTGCACAGAAAACAGTATGATCATGGATGATGTACTCTTTGCTGTGTTTTAACTTGACAGTTTTGAGAGTGCTGCCGTGAGGCCACTGAACTGTGGGCATGAAAAGAGGTGCAAACTTAGGACAGGCTTTAATATATGCTTTCTGCAAGTTGTGTGTTTAAAATAAATTGGTGATGTTGAAAGAGTGAACTAGTTTATTGTTGCTCCCTATTATGCCTACATAATATTGTAGGAGCCCAGAGGGAGTTCTAAAAATCCTTTTTTTTTTTTTCCCCAGCTTAAAGCCATTATGCAGGTCATACAGGAGAAATACTGAACCCAAATATAAACCACTGGGAATGCTGAAGAGAACCAGAACAACAGACTCAACAGACACAGGTAAAGGAGGAGGACCCACCAGGACAGGTGGTTGTGGCAAAAGAAATGCATTGTAAAATTCAAGCTTACGTGCAGTCTTGCCACTTGTGTGTTATTTGGAACCAATGGGCATTTATACACATACGTTTTCATGCTGCAACGTGCTGGAGATCCGCTGCATCTGAGCAACTCCACATGTGAGCTGATGCATGCTGCACTGCACTGAATCGCATGCAGTTGTATAAGTACTTAAATACACATCAGCATGTAGAAAATGAGGGTGGTACACTTTTGAACTAAAACACCCTCAATGTGTGTTAGTTCAAAAGCACGCTGCTGCTGTTTTCTCAGCACTGATGTGTATTTTGCCATTTATACAAATGCATGTGCCGCAGCACCAGGTGCTTTTAAAAGTGCAAGCATGTGTATAAATCCCCTGTTTCCAGACACTCTCTTATCTGATTGGGCACAGCCAGCCAGCACTGATCAACAAATGCCAGCTGCTGTTCTGTTGACTTTTCAGCTTCCAGCTACTGCATAGAAGTGCTTTATCAATAAAAGCTGTGCTTTCAGGTAATGCAGCTCAGTGGAGGACTGAATCTTTGAAAGGCAGCACCTGTAACTACCGTTCAGTCTGATGCAGTTGTCTTCTTGCTTACAGATAATGGAGCCTGTGGTGAAGTTCTAGAACCATGGGTATTTTGCTACCTAAATGTTTCCAATGTTAATAATAAAACTGCAGTGAACTGCTGTGTTCCCAATTACAAAGCTGTATGATTAAGTTAATACCAGTGCAACTGCTGGTGCTGTTCAGTATAAGTTCCTGTACCATACTTAACCTCATGGTGTCTGAGCAACTTCCTATATTAAGATACATTGATACAGTATTCCTATATTACTATACATTGATCAGCACAACTAACATCTGCTACGTGTTTGCTCTTTGAGCCAGGGGAGACGTGCAGTGGAGCATCTTGTTTGGGGGGTTGTTTTAACCATGCATGTTGATGGGTTTGTCAGAAGGCAAAGAAATGCACCTTGCCTTTGGAGTGGCTGCCTGGGGAGGTTTGTGGTGGCCCTTAGTTTCTGGCAGAGCTTGTTTTCCAATATCGGCCCAGCCACTTAAGTTGTTTCTTGCACAGATGAGCCTTGTCCTCATGGGGCATCATGGTTGGCTAGTATCCAGCCTGGAGTTTTAGAAGGGGGTGGTTTTTCTGTATCCTGGGACCAAAGGTGTAGAGCATGGGGAAAAAAAGAGGCAAGACCTGAAACTTGATTTTGTGCTCTATAGAAAGCAAGTGTAGGGAGTGGAGGACAGGTTTGATGTTCCTGCAGAACCCTTTGTTCCTGAGAAGGCAGGGCAGTATCCTATGCTATCGCTTCCTGAGTGCTGAAAGCTTTGTGCCCCGGTGTAGTGCGTTGCTATAGTCAAGACAAGAAAAGGTAAAGATGTGAATAACTGAGACCAGGTCATTGTCCTCAGTTGTATCTGATCTACACCACTTACACAAAGAGTCATATTTAAGGTCATTTGATTTCATAGTTTGTATTCTGTGCCACTTCCAACTGTCTGACTTACCTAAGTAAGATTTCACTTCTACCTGTGATTAAAAGGTCCTGTAACAGCTGACATCTGACGAGTCTGCCATCATTTGGAAACTGTGAACGTGTTCTGGGCTCACTCAAGCAAAGTAAATTGTTAGCAAGTGGATGAAAGTACTCTGAACAACTGTTTTCTGAGATGATAGTAGTTTGCTTTATCCACTAAGGGTCTGATCTTGAAAATACCTGCTAATAATCCTTAGGCTGTCCCTTTTAAGTCAAGAACTCTTGTCCCTTAAAATCCTAGAACTCAACACAGGGAATAAATTGTGCCCAAGTCCATAGTGAAGGTTGATAATTGACTCCAGCTTCCTTCATTACATCTGACTAATATGAACCTGTAGAATGGAGGTAAATATCTACTAGACAACACAGTGCAGCCATCCTTGTGTTCTGCATTAAAGCAAATGAGATGCAGTACAAGGAAAGCTTCTTGTCATCACACTGGACAAATCATAAAGTGACTAATGTGAATAATCCTTCCCCCTCAGCATGGTGATTTACTGGCTATAAGGCCTCCTAGGTGCCCATCAGTAAATGGAGAGAAAGTAATAGAATTTGTACTTGTGTACATACATTTCTATGCTACATTTTTTTTGTATCAGACTAGTTGATGCTATGGTGTTTGTTCTCCTCACAGATGATGATGATGAGCTCTTCGATGCAGAACTGGCTCCTATAAGGTGTAAGATTTCAAAACAGCAAGCAGAGACAGTGCTGCCTGTGACACAAGCTCCATTTAAAAACTCTGAAGGAATCCAGAGTGAGAATGCAGGAACCACTATGCCCACCTCTTCACAGGTTGACTTCATAGACTGTGAGGAATCAAATGGTGAGGAGGATGAAGAGGAGGAGGATGAAGAATTTAATAAAAATACAGTTTGTCCCCAGGTTGTACCCCAAGTTCCAGACTCCACTGCTGTACCAGAAAATATTGAGCAAAAAGCTCATTTAGACTTGACTTGTGAGTTACCTAGTGACGAGCAGGCTGCAGAAACACCACGGTGGGATGTTTTCTTTAAGCTGGACAGTAAAACTGATGATGGTTCTGAAACCGAGGACCCGCTCCCATCTTCTGCAGATGCTGGTGGGTCCCAGTCACCAAACTTGTTCAGTGATTCAGAAGGGCAGAGTGATTCTACCCACATCTCCTCGCAGAATTCTTCTCAGTCAACTCACATATCGGAGCAGGGGAGCCAGGGTTGGGACAGTCAAATGGACACGGTGCTCATTGCCTCCCAAGAGAGAAATGCTGCTGATTTCAGCTGGTTAAGCAGGGGTGGGAACAGAATAACCACAGCTACATCACTTTTCATGGGTAATCAAGCTGATCCCAGGAGTTTGAAGCATTTGGACCAAAATGAACCTGGCCCAAATAAGATAGACTGTGATTTGAAAGGCAAAATCCACAAAAGAGAGACAGATGTTACTTCTCCAACACAAAATATAGTACTTGAAGTAAATAATGACACATCAGAAACTCCTGATCTTGAACTGAACAGAGACTCTCAAAGCTCACCTGACTTTGAAATCCCCTCTACCCCTGACGCTGAGTTACCTCAGCCAGATAAGCTGCAATATCTTTACAAGAAACTAGCAGCAGGTGAAACAATATACAGAAGGAAAACCTGAGCTGTCCTTAAGAAAGAATCCAAACTGTATTCAGATATTCATACAAATAGGTCCTGCATATTTCTTCTGTTTACATTCAGGAGCAGTTTTGGAAGGGAAAGTAATTAGCAATCATGTGTTGCACTTCCTTGAAAATCTCTCACTACTGGGGTAAGAAGGGACCTCTTGGCACTGTGAAAATGAAGAAATCCCTAATGAGAGATCTCAAAATTCTTCTATTTGGGAAGAGGAAAACATTTAATTTTTAATTTAAAAAAATGCAAATTTTAATTAAAATAAACCATGAAGAAGTATGCTGCAGAAGCAATGGAGCAAAAGAGGGAAGATTGGACTACCAGAAGGAGTTCAGCCAAGTGATATTACTCCTCTATTAGTCACATTCCATCCTTTAGGTCTCATCCTTTCACCCTTCTAACCTCTGTGAAATGTGTTGTTAATAAACATTTTCTACACTCTTAACTCTGCACATACTTAAGAGAGAGGCTCTTTCAGTTAGCAAAGCAACCCTCTCCTCACTTGACTAGGAAGTCCAATAGTATGATGTTTGAGGCATCTTAGATTTTTGCTTAGTTTTTAAAAGCTAGAACTACTGATAGCAAAAGGGTTTGAACGAAAATAAACAAGTATAAAGGTAAAAGGGTGAATTTTGGCTGAAAAAGATATACAAGATGTTTAAATGTGCTAGGCAACATTTACCTTCTCTTTCATATTTCATATACAGTATCCACCCGGTTCAGCTTCAAGAGTAGATGAGTTTTCAAACTAGCATTTAGTAAGTGACTTGAACATGAGGCACAGGAAGAGTGCTCTTTAATGTGATGTTTTAACTTTCTGCATACAAACAAGAGCGTTCCTAGTCTGAGACATGCAAATGCTTTATTTATTCAACTCTAAGACCTGGTTTCTCCCCATTTACTGGGGGGAGAGCTCCTTGTCTTAGAAATAAGTATGGGGCCCTAGCTGCAGCTGTTGCCTGTCAGTGCCTACTTACCTGCCCCACTCCTCTGCATCCTGCCATCTCCTGCAAGCCTCTGCTCCCTGATCTGCCCTTCTCCCTTCCAGCTTTACCTTTGCTCTGCATCAGCAGGCTGTGTCTATGCAGCAGCCTGGAGTACTGAGCCCAGCCCGTAGCAACAGCACACAGCCTGCACGACTGCTACGGGGCCATGGCAGGGCCACTCTTGGTGCCACAAGCTAGAATGGGGATGGAGCCTGCCATGCAGAGGCTGTGCAGGGGGTAGGGGTGAGCAGAGGCTGCAGGTGTGTGTGCAGGAGACAGAGGTAGCAGGTCACCTCCCCACTCCACTTGCTTCCCTACTGCCTGCTGCAGTGGGTGGGATGAAGTAAAGACAACCCTCCAATACTTAGATACTATACAGTACATGGAATATTGTGACTATAAATTCTCATATAGAATCCAGTTATTTGGGGAGATTGTCTTAAATTCAGGATCATCTTAGATTCAAGTAAATATGGTATCTAATGTACATCACAGCATGTTACAAATGCAGTTCTACCTGTAGTGGCCACTTTAAGCAGCATACCCTGGAAAGAGGAAGATAATTAGCGTCACTTGTCACATGGCCCATTCTATTATAGGGAGACATTGCTGGCAGGGAGAAGCAGGTTGTCTCTGTTTTGGAGGATGAAGCGAGTATTCTTCCAGTTGCTCTTCACTTACAGCCCTTAGAATGGGGAAGGACTGTGTCCTATTCCGTTTGCAGTACATGTGAGCTTACATCTCAAGGAACAATGGTCACAAACTTGACAGAGAGCAGATTTAGGCTAGATATCAGGAAAAACTTCACAGTAAGGGTGGCCAAAATTTGGAATGGGCTTTCAAGGGAGGTGGTGCTCTCCCCTACCTTGGGGGTCTTTAAGAGAAGGCTGGATAGGCATCTGGCTGGGGTCATCTGACCCTAGCGCTCTTTCCTGCCTAGGCAGGGGCTAGGACTCAATGATCTGTTGAGGTCCCTTCCAACCCTAGCATCTATGAATCTGTTGGCTAACACGGGGTAAATATGGATGGCACTATCTCTGAGTGTATCACTGACATGATTAGGGTCCAGGGGTAGCTTGGTCCTCATCCCTCTTCATGGCCATGGAGTTACCACTTGGAGACCACTAGGTTACCTATGGTCTAAGCCAGGTGCAGGGGCAAAATATGGTAGAGTAGAAATGTATGTTACAACTTAAAGCTTATGCATCTTTACTTGTCTACGTGTCACTAAATTTCATCCAGTTAGACTTGTATTGGGCCCAATAACTTATATTTGACTAATACATATGTTTTCCAGAAAGCCCGTATATGATGATCCTCGATCAGTGGTTCTCAGCCTTTATAGACCCAAGGGACTTTTTGTGAGGCTCCAGGCACACCCTGGAAAATGCCAGCTCTTAGTTTTCATTTGTTTTTTTTGACTGAGGTAAAAATAACAGAGCAATTGTGCTACTGCAAAGAAAAGCCACAACAGGGCAGAATGTTTTTAACGCCATGGTTCTGATTTGAGATTTCTGGGTTTATCTTGCAAATCATGTTTGCGTACCTAACAGTACAAACATTATGTTGCATTGTGACACCTTTGAAAAGATCTCAAGGCACCTGAAGGTGCTGCAGTACCCTGGTTGAAAATCACTGTCCTAGATGGTAAGACATAGAAACTCCCTTTCCTCGGCAATTAATCATCCTAACTTAAAAAAAAAAACACCCCTCTGGTGAAATCTCCATGCTTAGAAATGTTCACAAACCAGTCACAGACACCTACTTACCTGGGATGGTTTAGTCAGGGATGATCTTGCCTTCAGCAGGGGACAGGACCAGATGGTCTTATGAGGTTCCCTTCTAGCCCCACTTCCCAAAATCCTAATTTTAAAATGAAATTGTCTGCATTTGTTCTTGTTATGCCTCTCTCTACAAGATTAGTCTTATAGGGCCTGGTCTTTTCTTTTTTCTCCATGATGATACTCTACTTGAGTGATATATCAGAAAGATTGTTAAGTGGAACAGTTAGTGTTTTGTTGCGAGAGACTTAAGAGCTATATTTCTCCAGTCTTTGAATTACTTCTGGTTGCTGTCTATGCCCTCTCCTAAGTTTAAACATCCATATTAAAATATGGGTGCCAGAATGAGATGCAACATTCAATATTACCAGCACTATAGCCAGGGGTAACATCTGCTTCCTACCGGTTGTTCCCTAGTTTATCCAGCTCTGTGACAGTGTCAAACTGGGACTGTAGTCACTGCATTCATCTTGGAATCCTACAGAGGTAGAAGTCTACTGTTCCACTTTAAGTCCCTCTGAAATATGCTAAAGCATTTGTCTGGGACTTGGTCATGTGCATTTAAAGAACAGGGTTGCCAACCCAAAACAAACTTTTTAACTAACAACCTGCACACTTTTTACTGACAGCCAAACTTTTTTACTGTTGTGTGTTTACATAATATAAATATACCCTTGGACAAGGGCAGGATTTAATTTCAGGGGTTTAACACCAGCCATAGTAAAAATGTTTGGCTCTCAGTAAAACATTTGCAGATTGTCAATTTAAAAAAATGCCCACAAGACCCTTTTTCACAGATTAACTTCTGCTCTGTGAGATGTCACACACATGGCGTTCTGACCCTTTGATATATGCTTTATTGACGATGCACGGTACTAATTTTTATAAGGTTTACTGTCAGATAGGAAGAGGTATTTTAAGGAGCTGGGTACCAAATAATTTTCTCTCAAGTCTTTTACATTTTTCTGAGAGACAGAAATGATTAGGGGCATCAGAACAATTTAAAGAAAGGACATATCCACTGTAATGTACACCAAGGGCAACTTATTAGCAGTCACCAGCACCTTTTTCAAGCAGAGATCCTGTATGACCCAGCTTGGCTCTGAGGTGGGTTGGTGCTAGGACCCATGTACTGGCACTTCTCCCCAGCATGGAGCTGCAGCAGAGTTTGGGTAAAGCTCCCAGCTGAGCAGCAGCCTGAAAGGTGAAGCCCCCTATTCAGCATCCTCTCTCAGGCCTGCAGGCCATAGGTTGCCAATCCCTGTGGTAGAGGTAACAGGCTTGCCACCCAGCCATGACCACAGGCAGCTGCTTTCCTCCACAGCACCAAGACCACCTGAGCCTGCCCCCATTGCGCACTTAGCTCCTTTCCTCCCTCCCCTACAATGCTGGTCCTTCTCCTCAGTAGCAGTGGGAAGGGCCAAATTCAGCAGTGATGGTGAGTGGCATGTGCAATAGGTGGTCAGAGGGATGTGCTGGGGTGCTGCCACGGGTTGGAGGTTGCTGACCCCTATATACTTCAAAGATTAACAGAATCCAATAAAAAGGGAGTGCGTGTCAAAATCACAAACAGCTATTGCTTTGTTTTGTTACTGTCCTCTGCATGCCCCTTTAACAAACTTTCAAGAGAAATTACGCCTTTTGAATGTAGATCTAACTCTGTATGGACATTGCTATGAAGTGGGATCTGGCATCTGATCTGGGACCTGGGCCTCCCTACAGATCCAAATATTTGGCAGCAGGATAGTGGTGCCACCGCTCTCCCACTGCCAAATTTCTAGACCCATTGGGAGCCCTGTGAGTTGGATTTGGCTTATGGGCCAGGGGTTGATCATCCCTGTCCAAGGGAGAACACCACAATTCAGAATTCTTTAGAAGTGTTAAAAATTACTCGCTGATGAGTTAGGATCGTAGGAAAGTAGGGCTACAAGGGACTACGTGGTCATCTAGTCCATCACTCTGCTCAAGGCAGGATCATCCTGGACTAAAACTATCCTAGCCAAGTGTCTGTCTAGCCTGCTCTTGAAAGTTTCACAGGATAGAGATTCCAGTTTTTATATTCTTCCTGTTCCAATGCTTAAGCACCTTCATAGTCAAGAAGTTGCTTCTAATCTCCAACCTAAATTTCTCCTGCTACAGCTTAAGGCCATTGTTCCTAGTCCTGTCCCCTTTGGCCACAGACAAAAGCCCATCTCCATCCTCTCTGTAAAATCACCCTTCAGGTATTTGAAGGGTTGCTTCTGTTTAATCAAGTAAGAGAAATGAAACTTTAAAAAGATCCAGAAAAGATGCTGCATATTCAGTATAGACTATGTAAAAACTAAAGTTATAAACATATTTGTACAACATTATAGATCTGGCTTACAGTGTGAGACGAACTGGGGTACAGGTACGAAATGTCTCCCAAACCCAGTGAGTCCAGGTGATTCAAATCTCAGTAGTCTGGCCACCTGCAGAACTGCCAGTTATTATAAAAACAAGCCAACCACAAAAGAAATACTAAATTAAAATTTATTTTATCAAAAGAAACTATAAGAAAGAGATACTGCTATTACAGACTTCACATATCAATTATGAAAAAGTAGTGTTCCTGAGGTTACAAACTGCATATCCTAACAAGTACACAGTCCCAAATACACACGCTGAAAATAACCAAGAGGTTGGTATAATTTTGAGTTTAAATAAATACACAATAGCTTTTTTTCTTCTAGAAGATGCTGCAGCATTTTAGTTCTGCTACCTCAAAACAGCTGAAAAACACATTGCATGTTACCAGTCAAGCAAAAGTGCCATTGACACAGCTGTACTGGTGGCCATGGTAAATGCTGACCAAGAAGCATAAAAGGCAGAAGGTGGCTGGTTTCAGCTCCTTCAGGAACTGACACTAACTTTTTTCTCCTTTTCTAATTTGGCAATTTTCCCTCCTGAACTCCTGAAAGGATGACAGGAGATTAAAAGTGACTTAGTATCCCATTAAACTAATTCACAGAAGAAAACCAAAATGCACTGCAAATTCAGACATCATTTATGGTTCTGAATCAGCAATGGGATGTATAGGTCTACTTAAAGTACTCCCATTATTTCACAGGATCAGAATTTGAGATCCTGCAGCAGAGGTAATACTCCAAGCCATTAGATTAAAGCAACGTATTGGCAATAAACACAATCATCAGAAGAGACAGGACACTAAACTCAGATACTGAGAGCTGGCAGACCTTGATGTGCTTTCTATAAGCATGTATTTTTGATCTTCTGTCTAACCCTCTTATACTGCTACAGACCATCATGTTCAGGGGGCCCAAAATTAAGGGAAAAAGGCAGCCAAAATAGTGACTACAGCCCTCCGTGTGGCTTGTGCAAAGGGGTCCAACAGGGGCAACAGCCACAAGAACAATCCAAAGCATCTGCAAGAGGCCAGGGAATTGCCTCCTGAACGTCTGCTACCTGTTGAGGAGCAGGAGCTCAGATTTCCATCCCTGCACAACTTGCTGCTCACTTGGGATGTATTCAATAGAAAGTGGAATGATTCTAGATATGAACTATTTTCTGTTTTCAAAAAGGATTTACGCTCCACATTCCACTTAAGCTTTAGAAAAGCAATTATGAACGATGTATGACACCTTTAATAATGACTAAATCCAGCACTTTTATCCAAGTATGGGCACAAAGTAGCACAGTAAAATGCCAGGTATGTTTAAAATTATGCAATCAGCGTCTCAGTCATTAAACAATATAAAGCATCTAATTTCAAAGTATATTTCTTTATAGTCTACAAAACCCATAGAGCACTGTGTACTGCTCTTTACCCCGAATCTGTATCCCAATGGCAAACGTGCTGTTGTGCATTAGCTTATGCGATTTCACTCCCCTACACAAAACCAGTTCTCTAGTAAAATAAAACTGTGCTTTTAAACTAACAAATGACTCAAACTGTCCTTCAAAACCTTTGTTGGAGTGGTAAACATGAACTTTAAGGCATATTTTTAACAAATGAAGAAAATCATTATGTGTTACGATACTGGACCTCATTCACCTGAGCCAACAGCAGCGTACCTTATAAAGGTAAGTAGCTGACCTCATGGTATGTAGCAAGCATCCATTTATGGAGCAACAGAACTCTGCCCAACTCCTTAAAGATCCTGTACATCACTTTCAAGTACTATGCAAGTCCTGCAAGCTTATCCACAGGAAAAATAAAGCACTTAACCTTTGTCCCTGGAACTATGGACAGTTTGTGGCTCCGCTCACGCAGTCTAACTCAACTGCTGTTCAGCGTCTTTGAAGTCCAACAAAATTTTAGTATACGTTATCAACGGATCAACATAACTACTTTCGAATATCAATGGAAAAATATTCAAGAAGCTGAAGAACGATAGGTTTCTCAGCTTTACATTCAAAATTCAAAGAACATGTTACAAATGCCTACAGCAAATGGGCAATTTGCCCCTAGTCTAACTTCACTGAAGTTAAATTGGTTGCAACAGGAAGAAGTTTGGTCTAATGTTTTTAATTCTGCTACTGGATTAAAAACATTCACAATATGTAAAAGAACTGTAACAATCAATGACAGTTGTGCATAAAAGTCCATTCCCAGGATACTTTTCTATCTGTACCATATAATTTGGTATCTTTACACAAATGCATCAGATTACCAAAGAAATAATGGCTGAATTTTTACTCTTATTCCTGTTTATCATCTTCTCTCAACTTGAATCAATAGTCTGTTTCAGCAACATCTGCCTGTTTCCAAATGATTGGAAAAAATCAGCATACGTAAATAATTTGATATTATGAGCTGTTTTTATAACTGCAGGAATTCAGCAAATACAGTGACTGTAAAAATTGGAAAAAAGTTCATAGGAATGAATGTATTATAATTCTATATGTAATTATTAGCCAACGCCATTCATACATCATTTCCAAGACCCTGATCTTAGCTCTAGAGTCCGCTGATACAAATCACTGTGCAAAGTTCTATAGACATTACTAATCTTGTCCTTTTTTTTTTTTCCTGCTTGAGTATATTCCTATGAACCTTCATACCTGTGCAACATTTCATGGTAGTACCTCCTGGAGGAGGATCAGGGCTGAAGTTTTATTGCTATTTTTAAGCCTTTTAAAAGGAAAGTGGAAACTGTTACGAGTTAACTAGTCAACTATGAGTTTTAGGGCTTTTTTCCTGTCATCAATCTTTCAGCTTCATGGAACACCATCACCTCAGCCCCTTACAGGATTAGAGCTGTAAGCATACACAATCAATATTCAAGTCTTAGTCCACATTAAGGATAGTTTTCTGAACAAACTCATTCATTGGCTCCTAAACAACAGGACAGTAGTTCCAGGCACATCTAGTTTTTAATCCAGGCTGTCAAGTGTTTCATGTTTTGGTGGTTGTAATATTAAATCTCCTTCTTTGGCTAATGCCCATTTCAAACCTAAATTTAACGCCTTCTTTCCACCGTAGTGATTTACTTAGATGTAAAAATACTTCAATGGATATATATGTAAACTAGAATAGTCTTCTTGAAATCATTTAGAAAGGCAAAATAATTTATCTGCAACTTTGGATACTGAGCGTTCAGTTAAGATACCCTCTACAACACACAGCCCCACACTTGCACACAGTTCTGGTCCTCTTTCTGGCTGGGCTGAGAGCATCAGCGGAGTCCGAAATAGGATCTATAGAGCCTAAACACATAAGAAAACATCAAAAAGGTTAAAGGTTGTTCGAAATTGAGAATTATTATTTCTTTAGCTGCAACACTGGAACTGTGCAAGAGAAAAAAGTATGGTTTCAGAAGCTTTACAATCTAGGAACCCAGTTCTGCAAAACTCTCTCAAGTATGAAGCTAAACATGCACATAAATCCCACTTTCTGTATTTGATAGGCTGCTCTGTGCATGTATGTCCTCTCAAAAGCATCTGATGAAGTGAGCTCTGGGGCTCATAAAAACTTATACCTCTGCTTCAGTTAGTCTGTAACAGGGTACTCAACCCCTGGCTTATGGAGCCATATTATCTGGCTTATGGGGCTCACCCCAGGTCCCAAAATTTGTCAGCAAGGAGCCATGGCAGTGTTAATTGCTGCTCCCCTGCTGCCAAATTTCAGAGGGGGGCGGGGAGGGGAAGAGGAGCCCTGCAGACCCTGTACGCTAGATCACACTGGTGTGCTGCTGGATCCAGTAGGCAGGCAGCCAGCTAAACTGACCCTGCACCACTCATCCAACCTGTAGGGCCAGAACCCTAGGCACCACTGATCTATGAAGCATTTCTACCTTGCCTTCTACCATGGCTAAGTAGTCATTGTCAGTCACATGAAAGCAGTTATGATCTCTGTGAAAATACACATAAAATCATATAATATCTGTTATTATTGGTATTGGCTAAGTGCCCTAGTTGCAAGCCAGGATACCATTAGGCACACATACAAAAGAAAGTATCTACCGCTAAGAGCATATAACTGGAATTATAGGGCAAGGAACAGTAAATAGCTACAGACTGAGGAGCACCAACTACCTAAGTTCTTTGTAGACATCATTACAAAAGGGAGTTTTAAAGCGAAGTTTAGAGGAGGACAAGGAGGTAGCTTTGTGGATATCTATAGGCAGCTTCTTCAAGAATGAGATGTCACATTAGAGTAAGCACAGAAGTGCATGTCTGAAAGTGTAGTATTGAACATGAAGTCTGATCCACAGGTACGAGCTGATAGGTAGCACAAATATAGGCCATGATGGGAAGCAAACTAAAGGACTGACACAGTTAATGTAATGGGCAAGAAAAACAAAGTTAGCATTTTCTTCAGAAAATGAACTTTCAATTTTTAAATTGAAAGAATAGGTTCCAAGTGGAAGACAGCATAATTACAAAGCTAGCCAGTGGCTCCTATTCTGCTCCAAAATTATTCTATACAGTTTTACCACTGTTCTCTATATTTCTGTTTTAAAACAAGTTACATTTGCTAGTAGCAATATATTTACTACAAGTTCTCTTTGAAGTTGTTTAGTTCTCATGAAACACAGGCTGTTCTGCAGTACTTCCATGTTTATACATAAAAGTCTCATGAAGTACCTTTAATTAATATTTGTATTTTAATAAATAATATTGAATCAGTTGCTAAATACTAATCTATGTAAGTACTTTGCTCCTTCAAGCTCAAAAGAATTATACATATGAAGTATGGAGTAAAGTACTTTAAGAGCTACATTTGCAAACTGCACGTTACTATAACTATGCAGAGACTTCAGTGGAGAACAGGAGCCAGTGACCACAGCTTGCTGTATAACTGCCGGGAGAACATATACACAAAACAATCTTCCAATGTTATTAACGATCCCATGTGGATTTGAGATCTGAGAGCAAACAGAATCTTGTTCACTAATGTTTTGTTCAAAACACCATCAGACAGTACTAACCAATGATCAATTTAACTACCATGACAAGGTAAAGAGCTTGTATTTCGTAATCATTTTGGCGCAAGGACCATGTTTCCTTATGCGTTTGTTCAATACCTGGCACAATGGGCCTGGTCATGGACAAGGATTCCTCCTGAAAATTCAATACAAATTAATAAACGGTCATTTAGATTGGTCATTTATTTTGTTTTCTTCAGAAATGATTGCTTCTGAAAAATTACACTTTCCAAATAAGAATGTCAATAAAACAAATTGAACAAAAAACCTTAGGAATTGTACCCAGACATTCGTTCATCTTTAGGCCTGACAGTCTAGCAAATGGTGTATAATAAGTTGCCTTCCAGGGTATCAGAGCTCAGTCTGAGCTTAGAAAACTAACTGGATAGGGCATGCAATCCTGTCTGTACAGGAGGGGGAAATCAAGGGTCTGAGCCCAGTGCAAAGGGCTGTAGTTGCTTTTGCAGGGTTGGCCAGGCAGACAAGCAGCTGCATCCAGACTTCCTACCTGGAAATACCATATTTGCTTGAATCTGAGGTGATGTGTTTCCCCCCCTCCCAACCATGAGGGAAAAAAGCCCTCCTTTAGATTTGAGTACTAGCCCCAGGCAGGCAGCAACTCAGCTCTAGCTTTAGCTCTGCCAAAGTGGTTTGTGTGGCAGAGGAGGGGATTCGTAGGGGTTGCATGTGGGAGACCATGCTCGTTACATACCTTTCATCTGATAATCAAATGTGAGCTCCTCTCCAGCCTTGATAGGTCTTGTAGAAAACAGTGCTATCCGAGGAAGACGCAAATCAAGGTTGTCGATGAAAACATTGAACACCTGAAGATTTGGATCACACTGTAAAGCAAAATAAGAGATTTATAATTCAGGTATCTGTCAGCAAAAGAAAAAATTCAGACTGGTGCATCGAATGGTAAATAAGAGTTATTGTATACTACCAGTAAAAATTAGGTGTGCCAGTAAGAATTTAGGGGCCCAATCTTCTTCTCCCAGTGACAGAAAGTGAGAAGCAACTCCATCTAAGTCAATTATATTATCCTTGTGCAAACATCAGTATTATGAGAGAAAATCATAGAAAAAGCAGTGAAGTAGGGCCAAAAGGGACCTCAAAAGGTCATCTGGTCTAACCCGCCGCCCGAGACAGGAAAGGTATCATGTCCTGTATGAGGATCAAACTTACAACTTTGGTGTTACTAGCAGCACAATCTAACCAACTGAGCTTATCAGCCACCACAAAGACCCTATTATACGACATTATAGCTGTGTTTACAACACATGTATAGACATCATTCTACTTAAAAAAAAAAATATTCTGTTCTTAAGTCAGATCTTAACTTTGGTCCCAAGGTCAGAAATTACTTGTATAATATTGCTGTAATGGATGGACTTCCAATTTCTAGTTCAAAGACTGTTTGGCTTCTGTTGTTATCCAGCAGCCCATGAGAAAGAAAGCAGGAAT